CATCACGTGGTCTACCCCCCCACAGACATTCGTCACGTCTACCCCCCCTGGCTGTCAAATTACAACACCCCCCCCTATGCGATTGTACTGATTATCCCCCCCTATGGTCGTTATAATGCAATCCCCCCCCTATGTCAACATCTTGCAAACCCCCCCTTCAATAGACATGTATTAATCCCCCCCATAATAAACTGCCATTGTTCCCCCCCCAAAGGTCATTTCATCTTATGCCCCCCCATAATGTCTGGTGAGTTAGCCCCCCCCCATGAGATAGAGTTATAAAACCCCCCCGTTAGCCTCCTTCGCACAACCCCCCCCTCTCTCTTCCTTTCCGCTCTTCTTTCTACTCTGAGATTTTCTGTCTTCCCCCCCATGACCGMAGAAGACTGCGACCCCCCCGAAAAACAGAAGAGGGGACGCCCCCCCCTTCATTTCTTGGTGGTGCCCCCCCCCCCCACTCGTCCAAGAGAATACCCCCCCTGGCCAAAAAAGGCAAAATACCCCCCCGCCTTTGGAGGAGACTAGTACCCCCCCAAGTCAGTGTTGCTGCTATTCCCCCCCTTTTTTGTGAACAACTAACACCCCCCCTTGCTTTGACTGGCCTTTGACCCCCCCTCGGCGAGCAGCTATTTTCTCCCCCCCCATCGACAACCTAAAACGTTCCCCCCCAAAAGATAAAAATATTCGTTCCCCCCCGCAGATTTTATGAAACACCCCCCCCCCTGGTTCTTCTAATCAATACCCCCCCCCACTTCGCCGAAACAGAAATGCCCCCCCAGGGGCAAAAAAGATTAATTCCCCCCCGATGAGAGCTGAAAATGTTTCCCCCCCTGATTGATACTTAAATCATCCCCCCCCTTTAAACTCTACCTTTGTTACCCCCCCTCTTGTTATGTAGTATTCCACCCCCCCTGGAAATGACATGAGGGATTCCCCCCCGCTGTTGCTCTATGGCCAGACCCCCCCCTAAACCTAAAAAAACATTCCCCCCCCATTGAATTCATAAGAAAATGCCCCCCCAGGAATGAATAAAATGACTTCCCCCCCAAATTTCTGATATCTGACTGCCCCCCCGACTAGAACACTAACAGAAGCCCCCCCCCACACACGGCCAACGACTACCTCCCTGAGTCTGACTATTAAACCGACCCCCCCTCTGACCGACCGAGTTAAAGCCCCCCCCCTGCTACGCTAATAGACTGCCCCCCCGAATGATTATGAATAACATTCCCCCCCTCCAATAATTTTATCAGAAACCCCCCCATCATCATAAGATGAGAGACCCCCCCCTATCAAAGCGAAAATCGCAACCCCCCCCAGCCCCAACTTGTAGTAATCCCCCCCGTAGCGAACTCAATTCACTACCCCCCCTTTTGCTTATTTACATGGTTCCCCCCCCTAAAACAAGCAAGCAAACACCCCCCCAAACAAACAAACAAACAAAACCCCCCCATATTTACCAAGAAAAACAACCCCCCCATATTTACCAAGAAGTCTTACCCCCCCCACGACGGTCGGTTCACATACCCCCCCCTTTGAATTTTGATCCCGCGC